CAAGCTGTACCCAATTTGTATCCCGATTCACCTTTTATTGAATATGAGTAGAGAGGAGTAGAACGAAATCAAAGTGCTTTGTCATTTTCGCCAGCCTACGGATTAACCAAAGGGTGGTTTAAAACCGGAAGTGTAAGTCTGGACAGATTGCAGGAGAATGTTAGGACACAAGTGACCCAGCAAAAATCAGACTATTCAGCGTTTGATTGGCTGTTCAATCGACGTCGTTCAGTCTGTGAGCAGGCCGCGCGGTTCCGTTGTATGCTGATTTTGTTGTGAGCAGACAGAGGACAGTGAATAAGCACCATCCACATTTGCATTCGATTTCCGGAAGAAAAAAGCGACAAACGGAATCCGCCAACGCGCGACAAAAGCAAGTTCACACTGCTCTTCGCGAAGTTCCAGTAAACTTTGAATCACTCGCTGATGAAGATTGTATGAGATGAAAAAATAAATATCTACCTGGTACAAATTGTTAAACGTTTTGTATGCAGCAATGTGAATCAACCAATCGCTGAAATCGATAAGCGATTGTTGCGGGCCAAAATTAAATGGAGTGTGGAGAGTAAAGTCACCTCATCAACATTTGTGCAAACAATGAACTAAAGTTCATTGAGTAGAATCAAAGTTTTCACGAATTTTGAGTGTACTGTGGCACCCCTAATGGACGCCAGATTTGTCTTCTGTGTGCACACAAAAGGGGCACTCAAACATCAAATGTTATGCGACGTATGCCCACAAAAGTGTATCAATAGAGACCGACTGGTATTTTGGTTTCAGTGCTAGATTTGCTTAACTTGGTTTGACCAATCACGGTGAACGATAGCTTACCGCGACGCACCACATTAGTCTGGTTGATCAACAGAATCACAGAAGACCAGTATCTACGTGCCAGTCAGTAAACAAAGCCTTCGCTTGGTACATCACAGGTATTAATGATAAATCATCGGAAGTGCATTTGCAGAATCAAAACAGAAAAACTCATTCTCAAAGTTTTCGTGGTGTAAAAAACCAACTCATCGATTGCTTCCGAGAGGTTGTCAAGCTTAGGGGTGAAGAAAGCAACATCCTTTTATGGTTAGAATAATTGCGTTGTTGGAGTAAAGGCTGACAGGTTGACTTAAGAAGGGGGACCCTAACGGCAAATGAAATTTCAAGAACTGTGTGGAAATCGGAGCATAGAGCTACAAATGTATGACAATCTGTTGAAGACCTTTTACATGTAGGTTCGGGCAACCAGAATCACCCCGCATAACGCCTGAACAATATTGGACAGGATGCGTTTTTGTGCAGGATGCAAGGTTGACAGGTGATTGGTTGATTCAGAAAGATAGGTAGACTTTACAGAGTTTTGAGACATTCATAGTTGATTTAGTGTAGACCAAGGCACTCGCCCTCCGCGCAACAGGAGGATAACCAAGACTGATTCTGATGAAGAGGCTTGATCGTACCAACGCGGAACCTCAGCGCCTGAGCAAACTTGTCCAAAGCTAGGTTCGGTTTTCACACCGAAACGCGAATAATGGCAAGGGGTGCATTGAAAATAATACTACTTACAACTAAATGGCAAAAATGTGGAACTGTTTAAAAATGGACTCTGATTGTCCTTGTAAGTCCTAAATTGCGTAAGTTTTCGTAGAAGTTAGAAACTATGCTCAATCTATTAAAAAAAGGTTCGCGTTAAGGGAGCGTAATATGAAAATTTGAAGGGAACAACTTTCCTTATGATTGGACATGTGCAGATATGATTCGACGCCTCGTAAAGGTGAGCTTAACTGTTGTGGGTGGCTGCGGAGTTTTTAGAATGGACATGCACCACACCCTGTTTGAAAACTCCAGTCCGGACACAATTATTCCAGCTAATCTTAAACAAGGGTGAAATGCACCGGACTCAAGTCTACCTCTTAGTGGAGCTTACCAGCAACGCGCTCCTTTGATGATGTCGGAGCCTAAACTTCGGGCATCTGATGTGCCAGGCGAATGTGTCACCACTGCTCCATCAACACATGAAGGCGATCACATTCGATCTGTCCCTAATTTCTTAGGGACAGTAGCACAATAAAATTTTATGCATTGACTAGTAAACCTACCGACAGTTAGGTACTTCGTTAGTTTTACCATGGACTCGAAAACAGTATGCCAGATAAGCCTGAAGCGCTTTCAGAACTGCCCCGGACAGACGGCCACATCAACCATCTGATTAATCTATACTGTTACATTCATTATTGATTACCACGGACCATCTTTTAAGCCTGAAAGCCGCGTTGAATAGTGTTCAGTTGTGCGTTATTCATCAGCTCCGAGGCTAGATGTGCGCTCCCGACAATGGTCGCTCACTGTTTGTATTACATGAGTGATTATCGATCACCGATAGTAAACACGGGCTAGATGGTTGCTTTTCCGTATGTCTAGAGCAGTTTTATTAGCGTTTCGCATCTATTAGGAACCGAAGCACTACGCTATGCGCATACTGAGTTCCACCAACCACATTATAATGCAAGATTATAAACTGCTTTTGGTGTATATGGTGCGGCATATAAAAAACCCAACCACTTAACCCGCTGCCCGACCAGTAAGAGCGAGCAAAATCTATATGATAAATAAATGAATACATAAGTTGCAACATCCTACATTTCTGTATTGTCCGGTACAAATTAAAGTGGTCGAAAAAACTTGGAATCTCTAGAGCGCCTACATGTGATCAGCATTCGTAGGTGTCCACAGTATGTGTCGTACGGTCTAGCGACATCGTGATCAGCTGATGTATCGTTTTCAGATTTCGACGACCAATCAGAATGACGCATAAAGAGACCGATCAGATTTATGCCAGATTTATCCTGTTGGACTATGACATCTTCAACTATTAATCAATCATATAACGCATCGTAGAACGAGAGACAGATGTCAGATTAAAAGACTCCACACTGGCAACAAAAAAACGTATGTCACATTTCAGAAAACAATGCATACTACCGATTCATACGAGGTTTCCTCTGAGAGTTGTCAGTGCAACTGCCTATCACAGATGGGTCACGTGACACGAGTGTACGTCGTTGTCACAGACTGTCCGGTTTTATGCTATGCCCAATGCTGATGACACGCCACAAACTTTAGACTGGAAGGATGCGGTTTCGAAGCCAAATTAAGAGTCACAAGATACGCAATACGAGGTGGTTTGTAGGCTTCATCGTTTATATCCTAAGAATATCCAGTTCGCTTCCAAATTAGGACTCGTTAACCACTTCGCTGGCAGCGAATATCATCGCAGAGCGATGGTTAACAACTTATATCTAATTACTAGATCAACGGAATATTGTCTAAAATAGTTAAATTCTATTCCAACACGACTCAGCATGGGTGGACCACAAACACATAGTCATATTTTGTGGGTGAACATCCTCAGAAGAAAGTAGCAAACAAATCACGTGACAATACGCTGAAGACGAGACTTAGATCATAATGCCATCGATTGATTCGAGTTCTGGCATCGGATTTCTACTG